CACACACAGGGTAGAGATGAGACACACACAGGGTAGAGATGAGACACACACAGGGTAGAGATGAGACACACACAGGGTAGAGATGAGACACACACAGGGTAGAGATGAGACACACACAGGGTAGAGATGAGACACACACAGGGTAGAGATGAGACACACACAGGGTAGAGATGAGATACACACAGGGTGGAGATGAGATGCACACAGGGTAGAGATGAGATACACACAGGGTGGAGATGAGATACACACAGGGTAGAGATGAGACACACACAGGGTAGAGATGAGACACACAGGGTAGAGATGAGACACACACAGGGTAGAGATGAGACACACACAGGGTAGAGATGAGATACACACAGGGTAGAGATGAGACACACACAGGGTAGAGATGAGACGCACACAGGGTAGAGATGAGACACACACAGGGTAGAGATGAGACACACACAGGGTAGAGATGAGACACACACAGGGTAGAGATGAGACACACACAGGGTAGAGATGAGACACACACAGGGTAGAGATGAGACGCACACAGGGTAGAGATGAGACACACACAGGGTAGAGATGAGACACACACAGGGTAGAGATGAGACACACACAGGGTAGAGATGAGATACACACAGGGTAGAGATGAGACACACAGGGTAGAGATGAGACACACAGGGTAGAGATGAGATACACAGGGTAGAGATGAGACACACACAGGGTAGAGATGAGACACACACAGGGTAGAGATGAGACACACACAGGGTAGAGATGAGACACACAGGGTAGAGATGAGATGCACACAGGGTAGAGATGAGACACACACAGGGTAGAGATGAGACACACACAGGGTAGAGATGAGACACACACAGGGTAGAGATGAGACACACACAGGGTAGAGATGAGACACACAGGGTAGAGATGAGACACACACAGGGTAGAGATGAGACACACAGGGTAGAGATGAGACACACACAGGGTAGAGATGAGACACAAACAGGGTAGAGATGAGACGCACACAGGGTAAAGATGAGACGCACACAGGGTAGAGATGAGACACACAGGGTGGAGATGAGACACACACAGGGTAGAGATGAGATGCACACAGGGTAGAGGTGAGACACACACAGGGTAGAGATGAGATGCACACAGGGTAGAGATGAGATGCACACAGGGTAGAGATGAGACACACACAGGGTAGAGGTGAGACGCACACAGGGTAGAGATGAGATGCACACAGGGTAGAGATGAGATGCACACAGGGTAGAGATGAGACACACACAGGGTAGAGATGAGATACACACAGGGTAGAGATGAGACACACACAGGGTAGAGATGAGACGCACACAGGGTAGAGATGAGACGCACACAGGGTAGAGATGAGATGCACACAGGGTAGAGATGAGACACACACAGGGTAGAGATGAGATACACACAGGGTAGAGATGAGATACACACAGGGTAGAGATGAGACACACACAGGGTAGAGATGAGATACACACAGGGTAGAGATGAGATGCACACAGGGTGGAGATGAGACACACACAGGGTAGAGATGAGACACACAGGGTAGAGATGAGATGCACTCAGGGTAGAGATGAGACACACACAGGGTAGAGATGAGACACACACAGGGTAGAGATGAGATACACACAGGGTAGAGATGAGACACACACAGGGTAGAGATGAGACGCACACAGGGTAGAGATGAGACACACAGGGTAGAGATGAGATGCACACAGGGTAGAGATGAGATACACACAGGGTGGAGATGAGATACACAGGGTAGAGATGAGACACACACAGGGTAGAGATGAGATACACACAGGGTAGAGATGAGACACACACAGGGTAGAGATGAGACACACACAGGGTAGAGATGAGATACACACAGGGTAGAGATGATACACACAGGGTAGAGATGAGACACACAGGGTAGAGATGAGACGCACACAGGGTAGAGATGAGATGCACACAGGGTGGAGATGAGATGCACACAGGGTAGAGATGAGACACACACAGGGTAGAGATGAGATACACACAGGGTAGAGATGAGACACACACAGGGTAGAGATGAGACGCACACAGGGTAGAGATGAGACACACAGGGTAGAGATGAGATGCACACAGGGTAGAGATGAGATACACACAGGGTGGAGATGAGATACACACAGGGTAGAGATGAGACGCACACAGGGTAGAGATGAGATGCACACAGGGTAGAGATGAGACACACACAGGGTAGAGATGAGATGCACACAGGGTAGAGATGAGACACACACAGGGTAGAGATGAGATACACACAGGGTAGAGATGAGACACACACAGGGTAGAGATGAGATGCACACAGGGTAGAGATGAGATGCACACAGGGTAGAGATGAGACACACAGGGTAGAGATGAGACACACAGGGTAGAGATGAGACACACAGGGTAGAGATGAGACACACACAGGGTAGAGATGAGATGCACACAGGGTAGAGATGAGATGCACACAGGGTAGAGATGAGACGCACACAGGGTAGAGATGAGACACACACAGGGTAGAGATGAGATACACACAGGGTAGAGATGAGACACACACAGGGTAGAGATGAGATGCACACAGGGTAGAGATGAGACGCACACAGGGTAGAGATGAGACGCACACAGGGTAGAGATGAGACACACACAGGGTAGAGATGAGACACACACAGGGTAGAGATGAGACGCACACAGGGTAGAGATGAGACACACAGGGTAGAGATGAGACACACACAGGGTAAAGATGAGACACACACAGGGTAGAGATGAGACACACACAGGGTAGAGATGAGATACACACAGGGTAGAGATGAGACACACACAGGGTAGAGATGAGATGCACACAGGGTAGAGATGAGACGCACACAGGGTAGAGATGAGATGCACAGGGTGGAGATGAAACACACAGGGTAGAGATGAGACACACACAGGGTAGAGATGAGATACACACAGGGTGGAGATGAGACACACAGGGTAGAGATGAGACACACACAGGGTAGAGATGAGACGCACACAGGGTAGAGATGAGATGCACACAGGGTAGAGATGAGATGCACACAGGGTAGAGATGAGACACACACAGGGTAGAGATGAGATGCACAGGGTGGAGATGAGACACACAGGGTAGAGATGAGACACACACAGGGTAGAGATGAGACACACAGGGTAGAGATGAGACACACACAGGGTAGAGATGAGACACACACAGGGTAGAGATAAGACGCACAGGGTGGACATGAGACACACAGGGTAGAGATGAGACACACACAGGGTAGAGATGAGATACACACAGGGTAGAGATGAGATACACAGGGTAAAGATGAGATGCACACAGGGTAGAGATGAGATGCACACAGGGTAGAGATGAGATGCACACAGGGTAGAGATGAGACACACACAGGGTAGAGATGAGATGCACACAGGGTAGAGATGAGATGCACAGGGTAGAGATGAGACGCACACAGGGTAGTGATGAGACACACACAGGGTGGAGATGAGACACACACAGGGTAGAGATGAGACACACACAGGGTAGAGATGAGATACACACAGGGTAGAGATGAGACACACACAGGGTAGAGATGAGACGCACACAGGGTAGACATGAGACACACACAGGGTAAAGATGAGATGCACACAGGGTAGAGATGAGACACACACAGGGTAAAGATGAGATGCACACAGGGTAGAGATGAGATGCACACAGGGTAGAGATGAGACGCACACAGGGTAGAGATGAGATGCACACAGGGTAGAGATGAGATGCACACAGGGTAGAGATGAGACACACACAGGGTAGAGATGAGATGCACAGGGTGGAGATGAGACACACAGGGTAGAGATGAGACACACACAGGGTAGAGATGAGATACACACAGGGTAGAGATGAGACGCACACAGGATAGAGATGAGATGCACACAGGGTAGAGATGAGATGCACAGGGTGGAGATGAGACACACAGGGTAGAGATGAGACACACACAGGGTAGAGATGAGACGCACACAGGGTAGAGATGAGATACACACAGGGTAGAGATGAGATGCACAGGGTGGAGATGAGACACACAGGGTAGAGATGAGACACACACAGGGTAGAGATGAGACACACACAGGGTAGAGATGAGACACACACAGGGTGGAGATGAGACACACACAGGGTAGAGATGAGACACACACAGGGTTGAGATGAGACACACACAGGGTAGAGATGAGATACACAGGGTAGAGATGAGATGCACACAGGGTAGAGATGAGATACACACAGGGTAAAGATGAGATACACACAGGGTAGAGATGAGACACACACAAGGTAGAGATGAGACACACACAGGGTTGAGATGAGACACACACAGGGTAGAGATGAGACACACACAGGGTAGAGATGAGACACACACAGGGTAGAGATGAGACACACACAGGGTAGAGATGAGACACACACAGGGTAGAGATGAGATACACACAGGGTAGAGATGAGACACACACAGGGTAGAGATGAGACACACAGGGTAGAGATGAGATGCACAGGGTGGAGATGAGACACACAGGGTAGAGATGAGACACACACAGGGTAGTGATGAGACACACACAGGGTAGAGATGAGACACACACAGGGTAGAGATGAGATGCACACAGGGTAGAGATGAGATGCACACAGGGTGGAGATGAGACACACACAGGGTAGAGATGAGACACACACAGGGTAGAGATGAGACACACACAGGGTAGAGATGAGACACACACAGGGTAGAGATGAGACACACACAGGGTAGAGATGAGATACACACAGGGTAGAGATGAGACACACACAGGGTAGAGATGAGACACACAGGGTAGAGATGAGACACACAGGGTAGAGATGAGACACACACAGGGTAGAGATGAGACACACACAGGGTACAGATGAGACACACACAGGGTAGAGATGAGATGCACACAGGGTAGAGATGAGATACACGCAGGGTAGAGATGATGGGTTGGAGGTGAGGACCCACCCCTTCCAGCGCTCGTGCAGGCAGGGGCTGCTGAATCCGCTCTCCCGGTCCTCGCCACTGCTCACCCCGGACGTACTGCCGGCCGCCACGGGGGAGATGGCGCCGAGCGAGGGCAGCTCCAGCTCGCCCAGGCCGCTGGATGACAGCGCGGTGTCGTCGCCAGCCGCCTTCGCCGGCTCAGGGCTCGACGTGGCACCGGTCTCCGTTGCACACGCAAGGCCCTCGCCGCTTGCGTCTGATGCCTCCTCAGAGCCGTCCGCTTCCGCAACGTCATCCTCCCCCTCCTCGTCGTCCCCCTCCTCATCCTCCTCCGCCTCCTCAGAGCCAGGAAAGGGTGGCTCCGGGTCTGCCGGGCCACTCGACAGGAGTACACCCAGCGGCCTCGCCTCCATGGAGCCGGCTCGAGGGCCCGCGCCGTTTGGCGACGTCCATGCGAGATCCCCGCGCTCGGCCACATTGTCACTACGACTGACTGTCTCCTCCTCCGAGACAGACGCTTGCGCGACTTCATTACCATTGTTCTTCTGATCCTCCTCTTCTTCCACCTCCTCCACCTCCTCCACCTCATCCACCTCCTCCACCTCCTCCACCGCCTCCACCACCAACTCCTCGATGGGAAAGGACAACTCCTGCGAGGTACGGTCGTCCTCTCGAGGAAGGGGCAGCAGCTCTGCTGACTCTGCATCACAAGGGGCGATGTCCGTGTTGGGAGACTCCCTGCACCGGCCGGGTGTCGCGCCCGTGGCTCTGTCTGGCTCGACGACGCTGGACAACGCCTCGACCTCAGCAGCGAGGGGTCCTGTTGCCGGCCCGCCGTGCAAGGGCCCTCCGTTAGCATTCCCCTCCGTTGACGCCTCTCCGCTCTCGCCCAGGGCGTGACGCGACCGGGCTATGTCCATGACGCTGCCATCACCATCCTCCGTTTCTACGGTCTCCTCCTCCTCGTCATCACCATCGTCCTCCTCGATGGGAGTCAGTTGCCCCGGCGAGGGTGTGTCGTCAGTATCCGAGCTGAATGACCAGCCGGGTGTGGCGGGCGTCACGTCGGAAAACTCCGGGCCAAAGCCGCTCGTGAGCAAAGAGGCGCCATCGCTTGTGGCGTCGGTGGATTCCCACGGTGCCCCTCCTGCGATTGTCAGTTCGCAATTCACGCTCTCGTTTGGCGCCTTCCCTCTGCTCAAATCTGCAGTGGAACGAGAGCCAGCTACGTCATCGTCTCCCTCCTCCACCTCCTCCTCAGCCGCTTCTACGTCGTCAGCATTGGGAGGAGGCGGTGTACCCTCGGGCACGTCGTCATTGCGAGGGGCTGCATCGCGGTCCACGCTGAATGATGCGCCGCCATCGAGAGGGTTCGCGTGAGGAGACTCGTCCCAGTCCGCGTCGCTCTGCAGGGGCCAGTTGCCACTCGCTGCATCGACAGTAGTGGCGGCGGCGGCAACGGACTCCTCATCGTCATCCTCGCCGTCATTCACGTTCGCTTCCCCCGCGGGTGCTAAACTTGGAAACGGAGCCTCATCCCAGCCGGCTCTGCCCGCGATCCCCTCGCCGCCGCCACCGCCCTCTGTGTCAGCTGCTGGAAGAACGGCGCTTGCCTCCGGCTGCTCGGCATCGGCAGATGGCGGCTTCTGCATGGCTCCCCCACCGTGCAGGCCACCGTCAAAACCCAGAACCCAGAAGGGGCTGGGTTCAACGAGCGGTCCATCGGAAGACGCGTCCAGGTCCAGGTCACTCCCCATGGGCACATCGTCACTCACGACAGAGGCTGCAGACTGTGTGGCAAAGCTGTCGTTCATCAGCTCGTTCCCGACACACTCCAACTTGTCTCCGTCAATGATTTCATATCCACTGCTCTCTTCCAAACTGGGTATTTCCACAAGGCGATCATCATTCTTCCACTCCATGTCGGGAAAAGGAAACTCCTCTACATCGCCTTCCTCAGGCAGCATACTCACTAAATTTATACCTGGCAAGGGACTGGACTGGGTGAGAATCGCATCAAAGAAATCGTCCGAGACCAGGAGCTTTGTGTGCAGACCTGTGTTCTTCGGCTCATCATCCAAGTTCATCTGCATAACCACTTCATTGCTTAGACCCAGAGGGTCGCCCGGCGTTGCTCTGCATGCGATCGCATCTCTGCTGTCCTCTGTGGGCTCAACTTCTCCCGTGCTGCCCCCGCTGTTGTTGTTGTTGCGGTTGCTTTCACCAAACTCCAAGCCTGCATGAGCCTTCCCTTCCTCCGCCGCGGCACCGTCAAGGGGGAGAATGTCAAAGCCCAAGTCCGATGGGGGTCTGGTGGCGGAGCGGTCTGGGCTGCCGGGTGCCATGTCCAACTCGTCGTCCAGGCCCAGGCTGCTGGACGAGAGCAAGTCGTCACTCGTGGTGAAGGCAGACATGGCGGGCAAGTCGGTGTTGGTCAGCTCGCTCAGCTGGCTCACTTCGGTGAGCTCCTCCCCGCTCAAATCAATGGCGTTCTCCGGCCTGGCCTGGCCGCCTCCTGTGCCAAACTCGTGAAAGGAAGGTGCATCCGTGACGCCCTCGCCGTGCGGGAGGAAGTCAAACTCCAGGCCAAGCGAGGGTTTGGTCGCAGCCAGGTCGGAGAAATCGGAGGCGACCTCCGAGGACTCAATCAGGCTCAGACCTAGGAGGTCATGTGATGCTTGCTCGAGGTTCACAGCAGACAGATTAGCATTCGTGCTCATGACCCAGGGATCTGGGCCATTTGGGCTGAATGTTGAGTCCGAATCCTTTGGACTGAACGTTGAGTCCGAATCCTTTGGGTCGAACATTGAGTCCGAATCCTTCTGGGATATGAGGCCCCAAAAGTTTTCTGGGTTTTGGCCCGAAGCGCTTTTGCTTGGCATGACATTATCGAGGTCGAGTCCCAACAGGTCGGTGTCGTATCTCCCGCTTGCCAACTGCTCGACCGAGAGTTCTGCGGATTGTTGATTTGTGGTGGCGGCAAATCCATCGAAATCCAGGCCCAAAAATTCCGACGGGTTTTCATTTGTCGAAATAAAGCTGTCAAAGCGTCTGCCCAGCCCAAGCTCGAACACATCTTGAAGGTCTTGAGACTTCATCAGAAGAGGCGAACCAAAGTCCCCTTGACCCACTTTGTCTTCATGACGATGCCCTCCGTCGATGGCCTGCGGTGCCGCCTCAAGCGAGACAACCAGGTCTGAGCTGAATGCCTCGCTCACGGCACCGCTGCCTTCCATTGCCTTTCTTTCAGAGCTCGCCGGTGGCGTCGGGGAAGAAATAGTTTGTTTAGGAGTCACTGCCGAAGGAAAACTCAGCAACGTGTGAATACTTTAAGCTGCCCTCCAATGTCCACTTTTCGAGCGGCGCGTGCGTGGAGACGTGTGGTGTGAACCCTGCCAAGCAGACACAGGCACACGCGGAGATCCGCCACTGGTCAACAAGCAACAAACATCCCCATTCACTCTTACAGATGGCAGAGGCAAGCACTGCTGGGCGAGCATCTACCGAGTCCAGGACGGCACTCGAGAGGGGGTGGGGTGCGACCTTTGTCTTTCCAGTGCTGATGCTCACACACCACGAGACTGGGTCGACCTAGAGGAGGCCCAGGACTGGTCCAAAGATATTCATCACTCATGTTTGTCATGGCTGGGGCTTGCACCCAGGTCGCTGGCCAAGCTTCTGTGGCCAGTGTGGCCATGTGCGCAGGACAGGGCTGTAGTGGGGCAGATGAAGCCCAACTTACTGCCAGCCAGAGCCACCCAAAGGCCACCCTCCCTCTGGCCACAAGGGCAAAGCTCGAGAGCATCTCTCTGCAGGTCACCTGACGTAACAATTACACAATGGCCACGCTCACATATTCCGAATTGTATAAAACCGTAGAAAATGTAATAATAATTTGTGGTAAATGGTTTCCCCTGTCAAGTGGCAACGAAATACAATTTAAAGAGCTGACAATAAATTACAATTCCTCTGCTATGCATGGATTTTATTTGTCTGCTCCTACGATTAGGAAATATATATATACAGTACAGCAAAGTATAACTGTTGTCGGTCAGATATCGATTGAGGTCACCTGACCAACAATGGATGCCCCCTAATTGGCCAGATTCAAAATACGAAACACTCGACCAATCTGCGTGTTCAGTTCAGGTACATGGGGTAGGCAGCAAAATGATCCTTGTGTTAAGTGGGAAATGTAGAAAGCCAATGGGATGCTGAGCACGTGGTGCATGGTGGGTGGTGAGTTGATGGCTGGTGAGTGGCGGGTATCAGGATAGTGGCGAATGTCTGGTGAGTGGCGAGTGCCTGGTTAGTGGTGTCAAGTGAATGGTGAATATCTGGTGAGTTGATGGCCGGTGTCTGGTGAGCAGTGGATGTCCGACAAGGGTCAGACGTCATGTGTCACATCACCCCGTCTGTAGGACGGGCTGCCGTCCAGTACATATGTACTGTATAATACTCTTTGGTTCTTTCGGTAAAGTCACGTAGGTAGAAAAATAAATAATATATCACGACGTTTCGATCGCAACACAAGCAATCGTCATCAGGTAGAAAGATACAGCAGTAGAACTGCTGAACAAGAAAGGGCTGTTGTAACAAGAGGTTATATATAGGTTTGAGGTGGGTGTCACCCAAGGGTAGGTAGGCGTGGTCAGAGATGGAAAGGAGTCCTGTTGCCGTATGCACGCACAGCAGCTGCGTTAAAGGAGGATTGGCATATAATAGTCGAAGGCTCGGGCAGCGGCCTTGTTCCTTGTGTTCAAACTATGGTTCGTTTCTGCGCCCGTTTGTTTGCTGGCTCTTGGGTTGTGTCTTAGGCCGGAGACGGAGCTTCGACTTTGGCTTCTCCAAACGGCACAAAAATCCTGGGCCCCCTTCAGCAGATTGTGAATGGTAACAACACCAGGAATAAGCCCACAAGACCTGTTTCACCAAAAAAAAAACCCAATGCAAACGAAAACAACACATCACGTGTACCCGTGGGTGTATTTGTTTCAGCAGAAAATCCCAAGATTGGTTTAGACTTCTCCGAGTCTCACCAGAAGAGTGCGGCCCGTTCGACAGATGCCGCCGTGCTGCCTTGGCGTTACTGGGCAAGGGGCACCCCCCATCAAACACCGCGGGGACGCTCGGCGTGGCACGGACCGTTCCCACTTTCAAATCCAAGCTCCGTGTTCAACTCGTCGCAAAGAACAAAAACATCTCAAAATAACTCGAGCGCAGCTCTAGCCGAGGAGGACATCAGAGGACTTAGGAATGGAACTTTAATTTGGAAAACAAGAGCTGTTTAGATTCTCCGCTGCACGAGCATTTGATCTTGACAAAGTTTACTCTAAGACGACAGCTGACGGTGCACGCTGCTCCCGCCGCTGTTGTGATCGGTCACGGCTCTAGGCTCCGTAAATTAAGAGAGGCAGTGGAATCCGTGACGGGTTTTTTTCGTCACGAAACCGCTCACGTTGGGCTGCTCTCTCTATTGCTGGGAGCCCTACTGCGAAGAAGCTTGGATTTCAATAAAAGATAATTCCCATCGCACTGTCAGTTTAACATCACCATCATTACAATTTGGGACCGTAGTTCTAACGTTCAAGAACTATTAACATTCCGTAACCTAGCAGCTACTGGAGCCATGTGAAGCGGTTAAACATCCGAAACTTCCCCCGCAAGCAATGCACCACCCCGTGGCAGAGAACAGTCGGGAACAGAATGCAAGAGAACTAGTTTTGAAGGCCCTTTACAGCAGGCCTCATTATCTACACTAGGCGCACAACACACGTTATTTCACCAGTTCACGCTGTTCTTAGCACGGCAATCAAACCTGACACTTTTACATTTTGTAAGGGGCTGGAATTTTGCCAACATCGGGCCAAATCGAAATATTAATTTTGACGAGTTTTGTGGTGACCAGGCAGAGACCGTCAACTCGGCTACGCTCGAGAAATCAGGTGCACCAGGTTCACAGGCGGGCGCCTGACACCCCGGGTTTGAGCCCAGGGTTTCTGCGATGCCGGCTGAGCGTCACAGGAGCCGAGGCTGCCCGGCCCCCTGTAGGCCAGGCCACTTTCTCAAACCCTCCGTGACGGGCAGTAGAAAACTAAACAAAAAAACTATTTATATTTTACCAGACAAGACCCACTGAGCTATAGAGCTATTTGGCAGATGCGACCTGGCTATCACAAATGACAGCTCAACAAGATGGCTTATAATGTGGACATTTAGAACATCCCAAATACTTAAAACGCATGTTTATAAACGTGGAGGGGAAAACCGGAGGGCCCGGAGAAAAATCCACTTGACCACGGGGAAAGAGACACGCAAACTCCAAATATACAGGCGTTAAGGGTCGGGATCGAACCCAAGACCTCCTGTATACCAGACGAGGTCGTTAACATCCCGTCGGCGTGCGCCCAGGCTTGCCTTCACAGAGAGCAAGACGCAGTCCTGGCCAGAGATGCACTTTGCTCGCAGAAGCCGTGGAGGGGGTGGGGGGTGGGAGAGGGTGAGAGGGGGTGGGAGGGGGGTGAGAGGGGGTGAGAGGGGGTGGGAGGGGGTGGGAGGGAGGTGAGAGGGGGTGGGAGGGGGGTGTTGAGGCCCATCTCCGCTGGGGGCCCTAAGCCAGTGGTGGAAAGCCCATGTTCCCATGGCGAGTACCCATGTCTATATAGAACTACTCCTCACTTCCCACCAAGTGGTGTGCTCAGTGTGTTTAGCCTGTCGGGAGAGTGGTTTTATTCGGGACATGATGCTGTAGAGTTTTCGACGTTTAAAATACGATATGCGAAGGGTGGAGCAGTGAGTGCAGTGGTTAGCATGCTGCACTATGAACCCGGGCAAACCTGGGTTCCATTCCCCACCATGGCCAACATCAGTGTGGCGAGTGAGATCAGAACCAGTGCTGCCCTCCCTCCACCAACTTGCACTGGCCAGTGTGGTGAAATTTAGTTACAACAAAAACCCATGACTGACATGGCATGGGGTGGCCTTCAACCATTGATGGCAGAGAGTGGCTGGAATGTATTATGATTATTATTTTTCCTATCATATGAGAGTTACATTAACACAACAGAGCGACATTTTTCCAAAAACTCACGTGTACAGAAATGTCCTTGGAGCCTTGAGTAGGCATTTAATTTAAGCACGTTTGGCTATTTTATGTGTTTTATAGGACGCCACCAGTGGGAAATTGCCTCTGGGAACTCGTGTCGTATAGCACACACAGTGGGCATGTTACACATATATATTTATTTTTAACTTCCTTAAAAACACAAAGCAATAATAAACGCCAGCAAACCGTGACGGATCATTTTGAGCTGTCAGCAAGTATATTTGGGAGAGCGAACAAATGATAATTATCTAAATTTCCCCCATTGCTGAAGAACATGAGGATCGCACAAATAAACCACGTGAGGCTGAGAAGAAGGTGTCACTTGCAACATTATCTGCCGTTCTATTGAGAGCAACAGAACAGCAATCTTCTCAAACGCCAACGCACGTCGTTCCACGTAACTCGACGAGGAACGCGGCTCCGCTTGCCCCACCAGCGCAATCCGGGCTGGCGAGTGGCGGCACGACCTGGGCATGTGAGTGGCACTGTGCTCACAGTGCTTGGCTCTCAATGGCAAGGATGTGAGTTCATATTCCGGTGAGCGATTAACTCAGCGGGCCGTGGTCCCTCTGGGGGTTAATTAAATTTTGTACCAAGGAATCGGGATGCAATGATTAACCTCAATCCGCCCGAGTTGCTGTCATCATTTGTTCAACAAGACCTTTCTTTAACACTACTGTCAATGTAGCTCCTATATTGGTTGCAGGGGTCACGTGAACCGAACGCACGTATGGATTTGGAAAACATGATGCTTACACAAGACACATTGCAATCTTGAGGAATCGAAGTTTTTGTGCTTGCCCTACCGATGAACTGACACCTGGCCATGGGAACGTGGAATTTCCATTACCGACTCAGTGCCACCAACGGAGGTGAGCACTGCCCCGTTCTCGTCTTGGCAAGGAGACAGCGACTTTAAAAACCACGGGAGAGCAGTTTCACTCCAAGAGCCTTCGGGGATGAAAATGGCACAACTGATGCATTTTCCAAATGACGCAAAAACAAAGACACATTGATTTTATTCCTGCGATTACAACACGTATAAATCTTTTTGCCACTGGTCGTTAAAGCCACAGCAAAGATTTGCGGTAATAAATAACGAGTAAGAGGTTCAAAACAATGAGACCGTTTCTAACGGGATCCGGCCTCTGTTAGTGCCGTTCACGTGCTGTGCCGATCATTGACCGGCCTCCCAGCGAATGATTGAGAAGAATTCGCGGCACTCGCTCGCACATTAACGCGGTGCCGATCCCTCTCACACGTGACGGCAACTCCCCAACCTCAGCG